ACCTCAACTGCAGTCTCTTTCCTCTGTGTCCCTCCCCTCAGTTTAGCAACTAAAAGGGTAGCATCCCAAAACTGCAAAGCTCTGGGGGAAATGAGGGGCCCAAGGGAAAAGCTTACAGATACTGGAAGGTGGGATGGAGAATTAAAAAGGGACTTTGATGCCTTTTCTCCTTACCGCTAAACCTTGTAGTCCATAAACTAGAGCCAATAATACCAACTTCTAATCCTAAGGTTCCCAAACTGCATGCTGAGGTGCCCCAAAGCATCATGGCAAATTCACAGGGGCAGGGCAGGCTATTTTAAATTCTGAGGGAAACACGGATACTTGACATTTGTAGGGCACCACACTGAGGGGAGTTAATTAGATTGTGCCGCATTCCTTTCGATGACATAATATCTTCATGAAGCTAGGTTTTCCAAGACTGCTGTGATAAAAATCAAGTACTGGGCACAAATTAAAGTGGATTATGAGGGTGGCAACTGTTTGCTCCCAAACAACCATTTTTAAATGTTATTTAAGAATATTAGCACTCATTCCAAAGAACATTCTGCATTCACCAATGGGTAGTCCTCAGGCAGTTCTGATCTGACTTCCAACCACATTATGTATGTATTTCCAGGTATATACATCTGATCAAATACACAGGTGTGAAACTGCACAGACCAGGGCAGTCACCTAGCTGCATAAACACTCCTATCTGTTAGAGTTCTGCACAGCAAGTTCTAGAAACAGAAGTCTGTAAGGCTTTTTTTCCCCCAGGTTTTTCCAACGCTGAGAACACAGACAGTCTTATTCGCACTAACCTTTCGGAAATTACCTTAGCTTCTGTACCCAAAAATCTAATCCAATTCACACGAACTTGAAATTAAACTACAGTAGTCAGTTCAACTCCTTTATACTGCTTTGCTCTCTGTCACACTTGAATAAAGAATGTGGCAATGAAATGAATATGTCCAGTTGTTCTATAGTGTTTCTCCATCCCCTGTCAAACAACAGAATACGTTTGTACAAGTCAGGCCTAAGACAAAAGTGGAGTCTGTGTCCACAGACTCCCAGAGAACTCCTGGAGAATGCAATGAGCTGGCTTCCATGCAGCCAGAATGTGAAGCCGGGACAGCCTGTTTCACTTCTCCGTTTTTTTTCACACCCAGTCTCTCTCCACCTCAGGCAGATCCAGCTGTTACCTTACTTACATTCATTTACATCTATTCATCCTCACTGTACTCATAATAAACAACAGTGTTCCAACGCCTGAACTCATCACGGTCAAAAATTAACAAAAGGATTGGAAAAATCCAGAATGTGGAAATACCCAGAGCACACAGGTTCACAACATGCTCAGTATCAAGAGTCATGTTGAGAAAGAGAGATTTCTCCTCCAAGTTATCTAACTAGCCCTGGCACTCCTGGGCTCTCTGGCAACATGGCCTGGGACCGCCTCCGACCTCCCTCCCCTCTGCCTACACACCTAGGTGGCTCCAGGTCTCCTCCCTCAGGCATCCTCGCCTTCCAATTGCATCATAGCTTTCCGCCAAACTCCCTGAAACATTTTTTGAGTTCACCCTCACTCCTCTATAAAAAAAGTCCTTAATAAATGTTCTCTGTTGATGGCCTACTTAGTCACAAATCCTATTCTCTTACGCTTGGTTTTGACTGATGAGTTTATTATCTATACAGCTTTCAAGTTAGATGCGTTGCCCAAACACACACACACTTCCATTTGGCTTACTTCCTCCTGCTGCTTAACTAACACACTGCCTGGGCAGAACTCCTTGGAAGCTAATAATTTGCTGCCTCTACTTTGTGTCATATAATCTCCTAGAGATTATAAAGCACAGCCATCTCATTTTACCCAGAAGGAAATGTGGTGACCTAAGTTGGGCGGAGGAGTAAGCCAATTAATGATCAAACAAGACAACTCTGGCACCAATTTCTCTCGACCCTTCCCAGAATAAAACATGTCACTTTTGTCAGATTCCGTGTGTATGCACTAGCAATCATTTTGAGGTGTGTAACTCAACATCCTCCCTACCCCATAGCAGACAACTCCTGAAGAGGCAGAGAAATCTATTCATCAGCAAAGAACGTGCTGTGTATTGGCATGAGTCAAAAACCAAGCTACCGACAAAAAGACGCCATGTTGATTGCATGAATAACACTCACAGTGATGCCTAAAAAGAGATGCGATCCTTTTTGACTGCTCCAGTCAACCATTCCCTCCCAAAGTTCACCTAATTCTGCCACCAGAATGAAGCAGTACATATTTTGAAAGGTCTGCTCTTAAATAGGCATGAAAATGAAAAAAAAGACTGGAAAACACCAGAAAGTTATGGCAAAGTCATTTAAAAATTCATCATTTATTTCTTGATTCCAGTGACAAAATGCAGGCATAACTATTTCTCTGGTGAGGTGAAATTTAAGGATGAATTTTATGCTCAACAAGAATGGCTTCTCAATTGGATTCTTGTAAATATTCACACGTGGTTAACCGTACAAAACTGTAACAAACACATCAAGTTTTCCCCATTTCATCTAAGTCTGCCCACAGTAAACACCGTGACACAGGTACTTCTGTGCCAAGTGTGGAGTTGTTTTCTTTAATTATTATTATTTTTTTTTAGCGACAAGGTCTCACTCTATTGCCCAGGCTGGAATGCAGTGGTGCGATCATGACTCACTGTAGCCTTGAACTCCAGGGCTCAAGTCGTCCTTCTGCCTCAGCCTCCAGAGTAGCTGGGACATGCACCACCACACTGAGGTAGGCTAATTTTTTTTTAAGTTTAGTTTTTGTAGAGACAGGTGTCTCACTATGTTGCCCAGGCTGGTCTCAAACTTCTGGGCTCAAGTGATCCTCCTGTGTGGGTCTCCCAAAGCACTGAGACTACAGGCATGAGCCACCACACTCAGCCTGTTTTGTTTTTTTTTTTTTAAATGAACACCTGGCCCCTGTCCTTGAGTAGCCCAGGCAATAAATTCTGTTCTAGGATGATGTCAGAACCTAATCTTATGACTGTGATTGGACTGTAAGTTTCAGGAAGGTTAGGACTCCCCACTGCCCTTCTCATCAGCACCTTTGTATCAGTGCCCCACAGGCTGCTCAGACAACTGAAATAATGCAGAAACTAAACTGTCTAAGTCCACTTTAATGGCTCTGAATAGCTCTAAAGTTCTTTTTGTCATTTTTGCCTTAAAACAAAAAACAGATTCTGCTACCAGAAATTATTTGCCCCCTTTATTTATTTATTTATTTTTTGAGATGGAGTCTCACTCTGTCGCCCAGGCTGGAGTGCAGTGGCGTGACCTCGGCTCACTGCAATCTCTGCCTCCCGGGTTCAAGTGATTCTCCTGAATTCAGCCTCCTGAGTAGGTGGCATTACAGGCATCCGCCACCACGCCTGGCTAATTTTTGTATTTTTAGTAGAAACGGGGTTTCACCATGTTGGCCAGGCTGGTCTCGAACTCCTGACCTCGTGATCCACCCACCTCGGCCTCCCAAAGTGCTGGGATTACAGGCGTGAGCCATCGTGCCCAGCCACTCACTCTTTAATCTTTCAAGTAAATATGCTTCTCAGTAGAGAGAATTTTCCCCTGCTCACTGTTAAAATGATGAAGTATCCCAAATAGGAATATGACATTGCATTTGAAAAACTACAAAAGCAGTTGAAATGTAAGCTCTGAGATTACTCGGACTGCTGAAAAGCAAGGTTTCTCAACTGTGGCACTACTGACATTTTGGGCTAGACAGCTCTTTGTTGTGGGGGGCTGTCCTGTAGGTTATAGAATGTTTAGCAGCAAAAATTAAAAATTAAATAACAAAAATAAAAATAAAAAAGAATGTTTAGCAGCATCCCTGGCCTCTACCCACTAGATGTCAGCAGCACCTCCCTTGCCCCCAGGTGTGAATCAAAAATGCCTGCAGACATTGCCAAATATCTCCTAGGAGGACAAAATTGTCCTCTCTTCCACTTGAGAACTATTACTCTAAAATTACCCAGATCTGCTTTGAATCCCCGCTCCACCCCATCACAACCTGGGTCATCTTGGAAAACAGACTGAACCTTCCTATGCCCCCCCCCCAAATTCCTCAACTGTATGGAGCTCTTACTGAAGAAATGCTATGAAAATTAAATGAAATGATGTACGTACAGGATTTACACGCACAGAATATTCACCGCGCCAGAAATGAGGGGAGGCTAAAAAAAAAAAAAAATTTCGAGAACTCAAAAATCTTATCTTTAGGCCTCCAGAGTACTGTAGTCTAGACAGAAGAAATGGTTGAGATAGAAACAAAAAGAGATGAGAGAGGTTGGAAAAGAAGTGATAGAACTAAGGTATTATTCCCCTTATCTCTTAAGAACCCGGCTTGGAGTCAAAGCCAATAGATGTTCTACTTAGTTTTTGCCTATCTACTCTAACATTCCAAATAATAAACGAAAAATATGCCCAGATCCCAAAAGTCTCCAAAAGAGAAACTTTGTAGTATAAACGAGGAATTTACTACAGCAGACACAAAAATACTAAAAGCACCAGACTTCCACAGCATTGTCTTAGATTTAGGAATCCAAATAACACACTGAAGTTCTAGAGAAGCAATCATGATAACTGCATAATCTTCTAAAGGAAAAACTAAAGGCTGGCTTCTTAAAAGTTCCTAACTGAATCGTTCCAGGTTTCTTTATCTCTAGTTTTGCTCCACTGGACAGCTTCTGAGAGTACAGGCAATGTAGGGATTTTCCATTACAATGGTGTCAGAGACCAAAGGACAAACACATTTTTAAAAAAGCAATCAAATTCTGCCCATTGATTTTTATCAGGACGCTAAAATCCTATGAAAAGACTTTGGTCACGTGCCGATTTGGAAACTAGCAGAAAAGTTATTCCTCAAAAGAACTGTAGTCACGAGATGTGTCATCCCTTACAAAAAAAAAAAAAAGGCAATACATCCACCAACTATTTATTAAGTTCAGCACGTAAATTTCTCATCTTGCCTTTTTACTTACCGAGTTGGAAGAAAAAAGGGAACGCGATCGTGAAACGTTAGCCAGCGTCTGAATCAGATACTGCCCCCAAACCTCCTGCAGCCTCTAAGATTGGCTTTACTTTCCGAATTCCTCACCCAAGTGGTCATAAGACATCGAGCAAACACGTTCTGCTTAGGTGGAACTTCAGAGGTCGCCAAAATCAAGTCGTGGGAGCGCCTTTGTTTTCCCTACATTAATCACTCGGGTGTAGGATTTGGTTTGGGGACTGTGGATGTGCGTCCCGGAGTGCTTGGGGAAAGGCTGGCGTGTACGTGTGTTCCCAGGTGACTGGGTGTATTTCTCCGTGTGTATGTGCACGGGTGTCCGGGCTTTTGTATCTCCCTCTCTCCAGTGTTTGTGTGCGTCCCTGTGTGTGTGTGTGTGTGTGTGTGTGTGTTTCCGTGCGTCCCTCTCCCCAAAGGTGTGGGGACCCGTCTTTCCTCCTGCGTCAGACAGCAGGCAGGGAGACAACCAGCCGTCCTCGCTCCCGGGGCGGCCTTGTGACCCGCGCTAGCCCCGCGCGCACCGCACCCCACCCCAGCGGCCAGAGGCCCTAGCCGCCCCCTCAGACCCCGACACCCGCGCGCTCCGCCCGGCCCCGAAGGAGTCCTGAGTCCCGCTCACCTCGCGGCCACACGGAAGACGAGCCGGGAGCTCTGAGCCGGCCCGTCTGGGTGCAATGAGGACAGAGAGAGGGTCGGGGACCTGCACAGCAGGAGGCAGCGAAGGTACCGCAGCCAGGTTCCAGGTCCAGCTGCTCCCGTCCAGCGCGGAGGGAACAACATGGCGACGGGCCGGGGCGGGGCGATGAGAAAAGCAGGGCGGGGCCCCGGGAGGCGGGGCCTGGAAGGCGGGGTCCCGCGGCGGAGGCCCTGGGAGTGGGGCCCGTGGGAGGTGGAGCCGAGGCAGGCGGGGCCTGAATCGTGCTTTTCCTTTGGGTCGATTGCTCCTCGAGTGTCCTCCCGTCTGTGTTCGGGCGAGAGCGAGTACGAAATAACTGTCATTTTGAAAAGTTTACGTAAAGTGGAAATAAACAGACCTCATGAGCACAGTCACAGGATGTCGTGATTACAATGATAAAAACGACTAGGCAAACGGACAAAGAACAAACAGGTAGCTGAAAAATGAAAACAGTTGTGATATTGTGGAAAAACAAGAACTTTTTAAATGAAGCTATTAAAACTTTCCTTTAATCTTGTTAAAATACTGCCTCCGTCATCTCTAAATAGAAAGCGATGGTGCAAAAGTGGTACTGGAGAAGCTCTCCTTAAGTCCTTGCTTTATGTGTGAAGTTGAGTGCATGAATCCTATGATACAGAACCCTGAAAGTGGGAGGGACTCATAGTGACATCTCAATACATTTAATTTGTTTGTGATTTAGTTTGTTTATCAGAAAACCAAATACTGCGTATTCTCACTTATAAGTAGAAGCTAAATGATGAGAACGCATGGTCACATAGGAACAACAGACACCAGGGCCCACTTGAGGGTGGAGGGTATGAGGAGGAAAAGGAGCAGGAAAAAAACTAGGTATCAGGTACTATGCTTGTTACCTGGGTAACTAAATAATCTGTACACCAAGCCCTCGCAACAGGCAGTTTACCTACATGACAAACCTGCACATGTACCCCTAAACCTAAAATAAAAGTTCTTTTAAAAAGATTTAGTCTGTTTATTTTCCAAGACAAAGATCTCACTTTTATGATGTTGGGGCCCACAACAATTTAAATAATCTCCAGTTCTCTGGGGAGTCATTTTCAGGTAATGACTTTTCATTCAGCACTAGAAAGGTCATATTTGAGAAAGTTTCTCACAAATTAAAAAGGCAATTTTAGAATGCTTCTGAAAACAACGCATAAGCTTAAATAATTTTTTTCTCATAGATAGAAATCTGTTTCTTATCTGCAGGTCACTTCCCCAAGGAAATATGTATAAACGTTTATAAAATACAAATCTGTTAAATTGGGGGGAAGAAGAGATATACATTATCATTTTTAAAACACACATTAAAAGTACACCATAAAACATTATATATGAATATTAGAGTTAATTTTCCAATAGAAAAAAAGTCATGTACCTTGGGCCAAATTGCAACAAGCAATCCACAGGATAATTAAGGAAATGCTACCTGAAAATCATACATCCTAACCATAGTCAAGGAGTGATAAAATAGGAGTTTATCTGTGCAACTGCTAATACCAACTAGCTATTAACAAGTGATCTCATGAAATTATTGTATTTTGAGTTACAGTAAACCTTGACAAACCCAACAGCTTTCATAAAAAATGTTCTAAGAAGGTCCCATGAGTGACTCTTAGGCTGTTCCAAAATGTTAGAAGGCATTCAAACACATTTGAGTGTAGCTTATAGTACCTTAAGAATAAGGAAAGTTACCTTCTCTAAAGTTACTATCAGTTGGATACTAGCCAACTGACATTTAAGAATGTTAGTATATTCTGGTCTCTTCCACCATTCACTTCTTAACCACATTTCTATGTCAGTGCAAGAGTAGAGTGGGTTAAAAGATTTTTCTCTGAAGGGCAAGTTTGGGGGATTTTTGTTGTTGGACGTGTGTGGTTGGTAAGCTGATGCAAGTTGGATAAACAGTTGCTATCTCTCTTGCTCCATAAACTTGTTCCTTGATGAAAACATTAAAGAACTAACCTAGTTTGACTCCCTTCATCTCACGAAGATTTTCATCTTTATATTCTGTAAACACCAATGCATCACTCATGGGAGAGAAAGAGGCCAAGGTTGCTATGCATAAATGATTCTTTTATTTAAATGACACCTACTTATTACTATGAGTCCTGGGAGTTAATACCCCATCTCAAGCTGGAGACTGAAAGAAATCACTTCTGGCATCTCTGATGAAAAGCTACAAGTGGCCAGGCGTGGTGGCTCATGCCTGTAATCCCAGCACTTTGGGAGGCTGAGGCGGATGGATCACGGGTCAGGAGTTCGAGACTAGCCTGGCCAACATGGTGAAACCCCATCTCTATAGTAAAAATACAAAAAAATTAGCCGGGCGTGGTGGCGCGTGCCTGTAATCTCAGCAACTCAGGAGGCTAAGGCAGGAGAATCCCTTGAATCCGGGAGGCAGAGGTTACAGTGAGTCAAGATCACGTGCCACTGCACTCCAGCTTGGGCAACACAGCAAGACTCTGTCTCAAGAATTAAAAAAAAAAAAAAAAAAAAGCTACAAGTAAGTGGGCCCTAGACTCAGGTAAAGTAAATACTGATGATAATTGGACTGCTTTTACTTTCACGTACGAGGAAAAACACAGAACTCAGTTGTAGGCCATTTCACCATTATATTACATATGTAAATAGTCACAAATTCGATATTTTTCCAAAGTTGTTTGGCCGAATAACAGATTTGGTCATAATGTTGCATAGATGTTCTTCTATAGCCATACTAAGAAGGGGAAAAAGCATAAAATATACATAAAAGTAACTCAAAATTTGTTATATTTGGCTTTAAAGTCAAGCCAGAGTGAAAATTCTTAACAACATATAATGTTAAGTGAAAAAGAACATTACCAAATAGTATATGGAAGAAAAATTCCAATTTGGTTGAGGAAGCATTTTTTATAATATATAGCTTTTCAACATATATTGATGTATTTAATAATGCATTTATTTATATACTTACATATTTATATAATATGTACATCTTCAATATTTTATACCAATGTCACACTTATCCAGTTTGCCTAGATACTAAGTCAGCATGTTTCTTGCACGAATATAGAACTTTTGATAGTGATTCTTAAGTTAGATAAAATTTCAATGTATAAGGAAATGCCAGAAATCGGATTTCTTCACCGCTATGCTTAAAAAGGAGTTCTCAAGCAAAAATGAATAGGGGCATCATCCTTAATCTAGATATCACCAGTGAGCAAATTTCAGAATTTCCAGACTCAGATTGATGTAAGCAAATGAAAATTCTGGCCCTCAACCAAATAAAACATATATTCTTTCATGAGTCCTATGAATTCTATCCAGTGGACACTGTCAAATGGCAACCTGGGTGTCAAAAGCCATTGCCATGCTTCCTTCTGTCAACCTACACACTGTCAGAAGGGAGGCAGGCATGGGAGGCAGGAGCCAACACAACTCACACCTCTCAAGTTTGTGGGTAACCACCACGCTCACCCAAATCCCTCCAATGCCTGCAGCATAGACAGACATTTACTGTCTCTTCCCTTGGGTGATTTTAAGATTTGCAGGAAATGAAAAGTCAATTCATGTTAATACTTATTTATTCAACAAATATATAGTGAGCGTGTACGCTGTGCTAGGTGCTGAGAATACAGCAGTAAATAAGACATGGGAGGAATTCAGGGGGCGTCCCCAGCCACCATCCTCTTCTCTGAGGACAAACACCCTCCTCCACACTTTGGCTCCCATCCACCAGCTTTTTAAAAAATGTTATGTGACTTTATCTTGGTTAACAAAATAGATTCAGTTCCTTTTCTAGGAGAGCTTAGAGAAGATTAGAGGAGGCATTCAATAAGTAACTAAACAAACGTGTAATTACAAATGGACTGCAGAAAATAATTTCAAGGTGCAGTAGGTGGGAATATAGGGTAATGATACCAGAGAAGGCAGGAATGAGGAGGTGACTCCTGTCGAGCCCTAAGAATGAGCAGGCAGCAATGGGAAGGGCTGTGGAAAGAGTAGTACAAGTTTCGCAAACAACGTCACAAATAACTTAGCACATAGCAGCTTTCAATAAATCTTTCTAAATAAAGAAAACAGGCAAATTATTATTAAATCTTCACAACTGGTAGAAAATAGCATTGGAGACATAATAGAATGAAATTGCTAATAAACCGTTAAAAAAAAAACTAGGGGGGGGGGGGGAGAGGGGGGAGGAGAGAAGGAGGGAGGGAGGAGATGGACTGCCGGTACGAAGATCCTAAAAAAAAAAAAAAAAAAAAAAAAAAAAAAAAATTGTAATACTTTCTCTAGCGATGCAAGATCTAATGTATTCTCTTAAAAATAATATGTGTATGTTGAATAGTGCTGTACTTTCTTGACCACACTCTAAATATAACCTAACTTAGTTAATTAAAAAATGGCAAAATGGAACAAGCATTAAAATTCAGGAATGAAGTGAAGAATTCAATCCCTTTGCTGATTTGCTGATGAACATGAGTCAAAAACTGAACTTAAACTTCAAAGGCAATGGAAGGAAAATCGCATACACACCATGGTTACAATTATGTGAAAAGTATATGTGTGTGTGTTTGTATGAGTGTGTATATATTAGTGTTTATATACAAAAGAATGGAAGGCAGCAAGGAAAATCAAAGCAGTTGAATCATTATGGCAGTAGGATTCTGGGTAAT